GTCCCCCCCCTAGGCATCCTTTTTTTTTTTTTTTTTTTGAGAGGTTTTCGCTACAAGGCACATGCACTCGCCACACAGAGAGAGACATAGAGACAGAAAGCGAGAAATCACCCCCCCAAGGGGAATGGTCACGCCGCAATCCCTTCTCCATTCTCCTCTCGGGATCTTGGGCACGCACGCACATGCGCCCGTCATGAGTTTTAAGCCACTGGGTCTGGGACGCGAACTGCGGTCAACTACATGGGAGTCCAGCGACATAGCCATTACGCTAACTGCTAGTTCCCTCCTAGTCATCCTTTAGGATTGGGTTAAGTGTCATTTTCTCCAGGAAGACTTCCCTAATCTCCAATTTAGACTCTGCTCTTGTGACACAATATCCTTTATCAAACAGTAATGTAAAGGGCATGCACATAAAAGATATTCTCTTAATTAATGAATCAAAATAAAATCATGTGAGGGTAGGTACTTTACCATTAGCTCAGTCAGAGGCTAGGATAAGCTGCTTCATGGTTAATACAATTAATACACCAAATAAAAAAAATCTTCACAAATAAATTGATTTCCATCAGTAAGTCACTTGGTTAAGCACATATGTTAGTCAAAAATACTTGCTCTAAAACCTTGTGAGTTTCTAGCCTGGTTGGGTAGAGAATAAAGTAAATACACATGGAAGGTTCCAATTCCTCTCCTAATAAGGTTGCCATAATAAAAAACAGACGTCGCAGAGCTTGTCTCTCCAAGAGGCCAGCAGGAGGCCGTGCGCCTATCACACCCACAATCCTGACAGGGGGTGGGTGAGGATCTGCAGCCCGAAGGAGAACAGAAATACATCCTACAGATTCACTGGAGTGTGGCCCTTGACCCCACAAATTTAAGTGGATCCATTAAGCAGCTGTGCTGCACGGAAACACACATTGAGGAATGCCTTCATATTGTAACAAGGAAACACACTTTCTACTGCCTCTCTTCACTGCATCTTCAAACCCCATTTAATCTATCACTATCATGGTGAAACCAGCCATTTACATCTGTTTACCACAACCCTTCATGCAAGCTCTTACCAGAACCCTCTTAGAACCTCAAAGTCTCTGGGAGGCAGGAAGACAGAGAGTGTATCCCTAATTTACAGGAAGGAAACTAAGGTGTAGAGAGATTAGGCAACAACTCAAAAAGTCCAAGTCCTCTGAAATATCCCTGAGTCAATAAATAACAGAAGCATCATCTGGAAGTTGACTACAAAGCTCCCTGCCATGTTTCAGCTCATTCATTATTCCCTGGGATCTGTCAAATGGCCTAAACATGAAAGTTGATTAGAAGGTAGATAAACAAAATGTTATATACATTCAATGAAATATTAATATTATTCAGCCATAGGAAGAAAAGAAATTCAGGGGACCAACAGTTGGCGTAATGGCTATGTTGCTGGACTTCCATGTAGCCAACTGCAGTTCGAGTCCTGGACCTGGCAGCTGACACTCACACACCGGGCGCGTGTGCACGCGTGCCCAAGATCCTGAGAGAAGAATGGGGAAGAAGGGATTGAGGCATGGCCATCTCCCCTGTGGGGTGATTTCTCGCTGTCTCTCTGTCTCTCTCTGTCTTCCTGCAAGCACACACACCCTATAGCAAAAACCCCCCAAAAAAAAAAAAAAAGGAGAAAAGAAATTTTGACACATACCATATTATGCTAGGTGAAATAAGCCAGTCACATAGAGACAAATACTGTATGATTCCACTTACCTAGTCATACAGGCAGAGAGATTTCATCAAATTCATACAGGCAGAAAGTAGAAGAGATTTCAGTGGCTAGGGTGAGAGAAGAATGGAAGTTAGTGTTTAATGGCATTTCAGTTCAGGAAGGTAAAAAGTTCTGGAGATGGATGGTGCTGGTGGTTACTTAATAATGTGAACGTACTTAAAACCAGATAACTAACTATAAAACCAGCTAAAGCAGTAAATTTCATGTTACATATTATCTTACCATAATCAAAAAGAAAAACAGAAAACCCAGTTTACATTGACCCCAGAATGTCCTCTATTTGATACATAAACCTCGGCAGGCTTGAATGGTAGCTTCGCAGAGTCCTGAGTGAGAGATGTGGCTTCTCTGTGGGCTGCTGCTGCTGCAGAGCTGGAGACCTCCAGGCCGGTTTTGGCTCACACAGGATGGGAAGGCAATGCGGAGAAAAACAGGGAAGCCTGGCTTAAGAGTTCACACACAATGGTTTTTTTTCTTTTCTTTTCTTTTTTCTTTCTTTCTTTCTTTTTTTTTTTTTT